TCTTCATTTCCAGAGTTCATGCTGATTCTTTTATCTATTGATGAGAGTATATGCTTAATTGTGGATGGAGGATGGTTTAACCTGGGGTGTACATACAGGAGGTTAGTGTTAGATTTTCTGTAAGGTAGGTATATGTTGTTTATTAAGTCTAAAGTTATGTCGAGGAAGTTTACCCTTTTCAATTATGTGTTAACTGTAGTTTTTAAATTTAGTTTTCTGAATTCACTATGTATTATCTTTCTAATTTTATCTATTTTAAAATTTGTGAAACTCCTCACTACCATGAGCCCATCATTCCTGTATAGCCTGACGTCCTTAATTTCTAATTCATGGTTATATAGTATAAATAGACTGACAAGATCAGAAGACTCTGCAGAGTCTAAAGATCCCATGGTAATGACAAAAGGGTCTTCAGTGTTTTTAATCCATTTGTCCCCCATGATGAATCAGGACAGATTTTTTTTTGCATTAAGAATTATGTTCATTTCTTCTTCTGTTAGGTCTGAATATATAGTAGCAAACTCTAGGGCAGGTGTGAATAGATCCTTTGATATTGAGTGGTAATAATCCACAATATCAAACTGTATTAGGGTGCAATCAGGGTTGTTGTTGATACTGGTAAACCATTTCACAACTTCTTTGGTATTAATCCAGAGTGTTAATCCAAGGTAGTCTTTAATTTGCTTAATAATCCTTACTAGGATTCTTTTGCATATTTTTCCGATGTTGGGTCAGGTTGGGTTTATCATTCTAGTAATAGGATTTTCCTCAAAATCTGATTTGTGGTCTTTAAGAGTGATGTAGCATTCCTTTGCGGCAAGTTTGGCTACTCTGTCACTTATCTTTAATTTATCAGTAATATTTTTACTGTTTCTGTTAATATTATTTACCATATTTACGTTGTTATTATAAGCTTATTTATAAGTCCTTGTTAAATTTTTTTTAATTAAGTTATTGTAGTTCTCTGCTGTCAATTTGTAGAAATTTCCAGTATTTTATCAGTTTCATTGATGCTTTTTGCTTTGGAAATGTGGTTAATTATATTGAGTAAGTCCATTTCAAATTCAAATAACTTTTTGTTAAATGGTGCTGCTTTTTTATTTTTAAAGCCATAAATAATTAGAAAAGCCTTAAATAATTAGCTTAAAAAATTTTTAAATTTCAAAGTCTATAAACAAGTTCAATTAAAGCAATAGGTTTAAAAACTTAACCCAATCATAAGCTAAAAAACCCTTTAAGAAGTTATCAACAAAAAAACAAATTGTAGTTCAATACGACATATTCATATATAAACAAACCTTTTAGAAAAAAATCTTTATGTATACAAATACACATTTAATGGTGTAACAAAAGTGCCAAAAACCTTCTGTCATTGAAATAGACCAGACGATATGCGTTGAACGAATGTCATCATTCATTTGAAAAAAAGGCACCCCAACCCTAACTTGACTTAACCTCTTTTCTAAAGTAACTAATATGTTGATACAATAGTTGTCATTGAAAATGAATACCCTACCACCCCTTATTAAAATGATTAGTTTTCTCCATATCCATAGAAATCATTATTACAAATGTATATGCTTATAAAGCTCCGTAAATTTCAAAATTGGTTATTCCAAAATTCGCTTGAGAATGAAACAGAACTAGGTACTTTAATTTAATTTCTATAATTGAAGTTTTTAGCTTCTGTTTTTAAAACATGAGAACTCTTATGTAGTGATGGAATCATATTTTAAATATATATATATATATATATATATATATATGAGGGTGAGAGAGAAGTGGAGGAAAGAAATATAACTAATTCTGGTTACAATTTTACATAAAATATGCTAAAAATACAAGTGCACTTAACTTTAAATTTTAACACTTTTGACATCCAGTGTACCTAGGCACATAACTTATCCAAACTCCTTCAGTTTTCTGTTGATTTTATTTTTATTGCTATTGTTTTAAGATATCCCACATTGTATCAACATTAGTTTCGTGAGGAAAAGGAGATACATTGTATGATGTTTGGGATTCAAAAATTAGGGCACTTTCAATACTTTTTTTACCTTAATAGATTACTTTCTCTTTTAATTAAAACTGTATTCCTTACGTCAAAATTATGGTCTGACCTATTACAATGAACAACTAATGCATTGAGTGTATTGTTTTATAAAAGATCCTTTTTATGTTCATATGATCTTTTATTTAACTTTATAGATGTTTCACCTATTGGGGGGTATTTTTATAGTCTGTTTTGTAAACAAAAAGTTTATAATTAGTATAAAGAGGTAAATCAAAAACAAAAGGGTGAGATGAATAAAAAAAATGAAAAGCTTAATCTGTTTTCATTCTGCTCTCATCAGAGTTCTGTTGAAGATTGAAAAATGTCCACAGTAAATAAAATAGGAAACACCAAAGACAGGATGTTATATATATTAAATGTATAATCATCAAAGTTTTATAACATTTAGACCGAGTGGCCATTTCTTCTGCTTACAAAGGGAGGGATGAAAAGATTTAAGATAATATAGTCTCTAAGAACAGACCTATTACAAGATTTAAATGTTAGTGTGATGCTATAGGTAGAATGGGTCAGAAGTTAGAATTAATAATTAATCAACATATATTAACCAATATTTTGAAAGGAAATTTGGATAATTTACATAGGTGTGTCAAAACACCTAGGTTGATTATAGCTGAGTATTTGTTAAGTAGCCATCGGTGTGCCTGGACACCAATACATGTTCTCAGTATTGAGGAAGGCTTAAGATTTCCATCTGAAGTTCTTATATGTATGTATGTATTTATTATATGTATGTATTTCCATCTAAAGTTCATATATATATATATATATAATATGATAGAAATTATTAGGACGAAATGGCCATCCAGTGCTTTCTGCATTCTGTTAAGGTTTCTACTAGACTTGATGAATTACTTAATTATAATTATCAAATCCTCCTAATAATTTCTATCACTTGTATATCATTGCTTGAACCGGCTTTAAATGCTCTGGTTGGAGTGGCTTGGTGATAGTAGTTGTGGCTCTTTGGGGCACAGTCCTATGAGTATAAAGAAACGCAGATGAGTTCAACCACGGAATATGTGACTGAGTGGCGCTATATCGAGTCTGATTTGCTACCTCTTCGTCACCAAGGCCCGTTGGAACAGTTGGTATGATGTTTGCATGATAACGTAACTGTCAGGGTTTCAATTCTTGGTAGTGGATGCGCACTGCTGATGAGTCCCAAATATAGGACGAAATGGTCATCAAGTGCTTTCTGCATTCTGTTGAGGTTTCTTCTAGACTCGATGAATTACATATATATATATATATATATATATAAAATCTCATCCGATGTCATCTTTAATGTTGCCTATTTTATTCAATGTTTACATTTTTCAGCCTGAAGAGAGAATTAAAACTAGTTAAGTATTTTTCTCTCTCTCTCTAAAATAATTTTTTTCACTTTTTCATTTTTCAATTTTAATGTTTGTTTTTATTACTATTATATATAGATTTATATATCATTTTCAAAATTACATTATTAAAACATGCTCTTTTCAGCAGAATAGACAGAATGTCTACTCAGCATTTTTGAGATGCCAATTTAGAGAAATAGGAGTTGACATGCCGTTAAATCCAACATCCATCCATCCAATTTAGAGTATTGCTTACAGCAATTCAACTGCATTCAACATCACAGTTATGGTCTTCCACTAGACCTGTGGTGGATGTGCTGGTGATGTAATAGATAGTTGCTTGGGATGAGTAATTCGAGAGCTGAGTTCAAATTCCAGTCAGGTTTGTTACATTCACTTATGCACAAATACCTTTGGGAAAGGTCTAAATCCATCTCCTCCACCCAGTAAATAGTAGGACTTGAATCTAGAAAATTTGAATCTAGAAAATCATTGTTATTCTCAGAAATTGTTAATGCATTATTCACTCACAAAAAAAAAAAACTTCTCACAATCCCAAATATGTTTCATTTTTAAATAACCCACAAGTGGTTGATATCAACATCCACTAACTGAACTCACCCATTATAATAAAACACAGAGAAAATATCCTTTAAAAATTACTGAAAGAAGAAAAAACAATAATGTGAAATAACAAATGTAAGATAGTCTGAATTGTTAAAGATAAAGGCATTTTAGAAAATAATCACACTTATAGTAATGGAATTTTAAAAATCTTTTATATGAAAAGGTATTTAATATATATGTAGATCATTTCTATTTGTTCTTTTAGGAATTTTGTTTCTTTTTTTTTTTTTTCAAAACTAAGTACTTTTCATGCTGGAATTTAGCAGAAGTTCTGAGTGTTGAATTTTTCTATTCTTTTGACCACTACATTCAAAGTACTAATGCATCTCTAACATATCACCTTGTAGTTAAAGATGGGAAATTATAAGTTTAAAACAGTCATTTATTTCTTGTGGTATATGAGTGTAAATAGATGCCTATCATCAGTGTTACAATTTCAGGTTTCATTTAGTTGACCATCCTACCTACTTCTCTGAACTTATTCAGACTAAAAGTAACTTATTCAGACTGTTTTTTTTTATCAAGATTCAATATATATATATAATAGTGCTATATAGTACCTTGCAAACCAGTTATGATGAATTAATTTCTCATATACATGGCTGTGTATCACAATTGGATATTCAAACTGAAATTTTGTCATAGAAAGCAACATTACCTATTTTATAGGCATTTTAAATAATAAAAAAATAATTATTTATTTTGTGCTAAATAATTATTTTTATTTCATTTTATGTTAGATATGAAAATTATATGCATAAATTCATTTATGACATATCTTCTGTAAATTGCTGTAGAGATGTGAAAAATAAGATAACATGAAACGTTTCTAATTGGATTAACTAATTTTTAAATGTATCCATTCTCAAATTGCTAAATATTTTTCTGCTTCAATAGAAGTGAACAGCAGAGATTTCCGAGCTTGGTATGGTTTGGGACAAACTTATGAAATTATGAAGATGCATTATTACAGTTTGTATTATTATTGGAAAGCACAGCAATTACGGTAAGCTTTGACTACTTTGGAACCTTCTTTGTTTTTCTTTTTTTAATCATGGCTATGCTACCTTGTTAATTAAATATGTTCTCTTTTTTTTTCTTTTTTTTTTTTTACTGATAGTTCACCCACTACAAGGCCCATTGGCTACTCAAAGTAGAAGGTTAATGAGTGAGATTGTAAGAGAGAGAGAGAGATAGGGGAAGTAAGAGAGTATTATTATGGCAAGTAGGATAAATATCTGTTGACCAAGATTGTAGTAGTCAGGGAAGCATTCTCTTGGGAGTTTATTCAACAAAGTAACAATTCTGATGAAGAAGCTGTCTGAGTAGAACTTGCTTTTTATCAAAGAATATAAAGAGAATGGTGATGGTTTGCCACAGAATGGTGTGTCCTGGCTGTGAAAATTGGAGCTGGTGGCACTAAGGAATGTAACTCATCTGAACATCTGCTATGGTAATATCAATACAATAGTGAAAGGCTGGCAACTTTCTGTCTGTGGGATAAAGGTTACAAGGTGAATAATAATTCATCACCCACAAGCCATGTAAGTGCTTTTGAACTCTGCTGAGGCTGAACAGTGAGGATTGGGTAGCACCAGTCCAGATATGGCAGCAATATTCCATTCTTTATCCTATCTGACTCTTATAAAAAATAGGGCATAGCAGCAGGAGTTAGGTAGCAATATAATGAACCTGTTCTTCATTTCCACTGATTTTTTTATAGCATAAAATAAACGCTAAAATATTTAATATTTTCTCTTAAATCTATAAACAAAAACATTTCCTTGAATTTATCAATGTTTGAACAGTGTATACTAATGTATTTTAATATTGATACAAAATGGGAATGTGAGAGTATGGAATTGTGTTGCACTGCCTACTCAACTTACCTTGAAAGTAATCCTCTGTTGTATTTGGGTTTTTTTTTCTTTACCTGGGCTCAAACAATGGCACTGGTAGAAAACCAGCAATGATTTTGATTTTTAAAAAGGCTAAGATGTACTTTATTATTGAATTTACTGTAATTTCTTTAATGTAATTTATGACTAATAGGAACATTTCTTTTTATGCAATTGTTTAATGTAGCTTATTCATTTTTAATCTGTAATAGAGAAAATAGAATAAAAATAACAAAGAATTTATATAAATTATACCTAATGTATTAGACAATTATAATTTATTGAATTGGATTAATTTTATTTTTCAGCCCTAATGATTCTCGAATGTTGGTTGCTCTTGGTGATGGTTATGAGAAACTTGACCGATTACAAGAAGCTAAAAAATGTTTTTGGAAAGCGCACAGTGTTGGAGATGTAGAGGGAATTGCATTGATGAGGCTTGCTAGGTAACAAATATTAATTTAAATAAGAAATTATTGTTCTTTAATTTAGCAGTTTCTTTTCATCGTAGTACAAAAACTGTTTTTATTAAATTTTCAATCAAAAGAATTGTATGAATGTTATCTCATTTTGATATTAAAAATATTACACAATACCCAGCTATTTATAAATGGTTTGCATAGACTGATTTTATTTTCAAGGATCCACAGAAAGTATTATATTTACTGTTAATCTCTTTTTCTTTCTCTTACACCCTCTCTTCTTTTCTGGTCAACTTTGTCACATATATGGTAAAAAAAAATATAGTTCTAAGGTATACTATATTTATGGATAAAAGTACTCATTGTTAGGGATTGAGCATGTGTAAGTATAAGAGTGGAAAGAGTAAATACAGAGTGGCAAAGATCTGTTTCATTCTTGAATCATGTGGCTTGACTATATGATGGCCAATGGTGCATTATGGTAGCAAGGTTAAATACTTCTGGTTTGTGTTCTAACAGTTACTAGATAGGCAGGAATGGTTATATTTTAAATTACTGTAAAGACTATTGAGTAGAAAATAATAATAGAACAGAGTGCAGTTATTTTATAGCTATTGTATAAATAACCCCTAAACATTAATTATAAAATAACCACATTCTGATACAAACATTTTTAATTAAAATTCAATTATATTTATCCTGAAAGCCAATAAATTAAAATAAAAAAAATAATTCTTGGAATGTAAAAATTTCTTAAAATAACCTGGCCTAATTCACCAGACTCTCCCTAATAGTGGTTGGCTTTTAATAAATGGGATATGTGTGTTCTCATACATACACACACATGCAAAATTTAATGATTTATTTCTAAACTGGTAACTGACACCCTAAAATGAAGTTTAAAGGGCTTAAATTTAGATATTTGTATTATTTATCTCTAAATGTGAAAAACATTAGTAAATAATTGTAAAAACTAATTTTGTTTTAATAAACAAAGTGGGAAAGCTATATTTTTCTGTAAATTTTTGGTTAAAAAACATGAATGAAACCAAAGCATATGTGTTTTCTGCTTATCATAAACTAAATTGAAAACACAAGGAAGAATTTAAACATTGATAGACAAACATGAAAAATGTAGTTATGACACAAGGCAGATAATTGTAAATAAAAAAATTTTGGTAAATATTTTAACTATTTTTTGGTTGGAATGCTCTTAATATTCTTTACATAGAAAATGAATGCGAATGTATAGAGCATGCTTCTTAAAGTATGATAAATTTCACCATGGGAATGAAAATTAATAAGAACATTTCCATGTAAAATTATTCAAGATGATTTAACCAAAACCATTTTTATTTAAACAATAAAAATAAAGATGTAATTTTTATAAAAAAATTACAGTAAAATTTAACTAATTTGTTTTTGTATTTATTCATTTTTGGAACTTTAATATTTTAGTTTTGTAATTTATTTCTTAAACATTTTAATGTTATGCTACTAGCAAGTATAAATGATAACAGAGTTAAAAAAAAAAAAAAAATCAATATTTTGATTTCAGAATGGTTTAAAACCTTTTTTGAGGATGATAAAAGTTTTATTTTTTTTAGAAGAGTTCCAGGTGAAGAAAGCTAGTGCAGATCCCTAATTTTTAAGCAGAATAGTGCTTTATGCCCTACTATTATGTGTTTGTGATATCAAGTTTTTAGAATGACTGCCCAATTCATTGAAATTCTCAATAGAGAATCTGGAATATTATAAAGAGAAAGATTTTAAAAGTGAAAATCACTACAAATCACCTAAAAGAGAATTTGTATACAAGAAGTCAACAATAATCTGTGCAAAAGCCTTCCTGAGTTAAAACAGTGATAAAAAACAAATATTTTCTTTATAAATACTAACTATTCAATTCAGGTTCCATTTTTTAATTGTTCCTAGTACGTCCGAAATTTTCGTTAAAAATCTAGTTTTTTTGAGTCAGCAAAATTGACCATTTTTTTCCATTTAAAAAAAAAATTGGAAATCTCACTTTGAAATTCTTTTAAATATCAATTATCATAAGTTCAAAACTTATTTTAGGAAAATCAGAAATTATAATGTTTATTTAAAATATTTTGAACCAAACTTAACTTAGCTTTTGTGCCAAAAAGATGTAATTTGAAAATAAAACAAAGCAGGTCATAAACTTTTGCGTCTCTTGACAGGTGATGAATGACATATTTACGAATTCCATGAGGCTAATTTGTTCTACAGAAGGAGAAAAGTGAAATAATTTACATTTAAGTGAACAAATTATTTACCTCGTTATTTTTAACGAAAACTTTCAGCGGTCTAATTTTTTTTTTTTTTTTTACTTAGCTTTCACCTTTACGTTTATGATGCTTTATGGAAAATATATTCTAAAGAAATTAAAATAAGACTGTTAAGAGTGACATTAAATTTCATATTTCCTAAGAAAGGTATCTAATTAATTTATAGGTACCTTTCTTATGAAATTTTATCAGAACTGTACATAAAATACTATAATTTTATGTACATTTATTACATTTTACTGTTATTTGTATTTGCATTCATTTTATTATTAATTTTGATATTTCATTTATGGAAAAATGTCATAAATGAGATTAATATAAAAATAAGATCATATAAATTTCATAAGATGATACTGATACTTGTAGGTACCTTTCTCAGTTGAAATTGAAAAATCAAATTAACTTCTCCACACGTGTTTCACAAAAGTAAAGGCCTTAACAGCGGAGAACAATGCTTAACTCAAATAACGCAATTTAATTGTATTCTGGTTGGTCTTCCGTACTTTATGATTACAGTCCAATTATAAACACAAAATTACATTTCTTAATTACTGCGGATCTTCTGATTAGTCAAAATGATACAATTTACAACACGCTAAAAAAAGATCTATCTTATAAGGAGACTTAGAAAACCCGATGCGGCTTTTAACTAATTTTATAATATTTTAACAACTTAAATGTAAAATTCTATTATAATTAAAGAAATAACAAATAATTGTATTAAAAATTCATTTTTCATCGAAAAAATTTTTTTCTTTCAGAAAATATTGTCCATATTCATAAAAACAACTAAAAGCAAATAAAAGAATTTGAAATTAAATAATATCTTTGTTTTATTGAATTTTGTATGTTACAATTCAGAGCTGATTTTCAGGTACTGGGATCAATCCAAAAAAAAAAAAAAAAAACATGATTTGCATTCCTCAAAGCCCTGTGCTTTTAATTATTGTAATCACTAAACCCGATGCGATCGAATTTCTAGCGTTTTCATAAAATTAGTTAGTTTGGAAGTAATAAATATTTTAAAAAAATATTTCTACCATGACTTTAATAAAAAAAATATACTAATTTCGATCATCTGTGAATAGTTCCTGAAAGTTTCATTAACATCCGACAATTATTTTTATTTTTGCACGATTTTTCAAATTAATGCGTGTCATACCAAAAAAAACGCTAAAAATTGTCTATGTTATTTACTAGTTCCGTTGATACAAATAGAAACAAGGTTTTTTTAACCAAAATTTAGAATGTTCTAAAAAGAAGGAAAAATTTTTAAAAATAATTAAAAAAATCTTTGGTCTTTCCTCTTAATAATAACATAAGCATTTAGACAATAAAATTTTGTTTTCGGCAAGGTTGGCGTCTTTTTCATCAAGCTATGCTCTTTTTTAGCGATTTCATGGAGGTACCTAATTTTAGACTATAAAGTGTGTGTGTAGGCAAATCAGCTATGAAACAGTTGATAAAGCATATGCATATTAATATATATATGAAAAAAATAAGTTTTTTTTTTTCCATATTTTATGCAGGTTATATGAACGGCTAAATGAGGAGGAACAAGCTGCAGCTGCATATAGTCAGTACATCAACCAAGTACATCAACAAAATACCTTGCGTAGAATTGGAGACCAAGCAGTAAGCTTCTTTATTGATAGAAAAAATCAGAACATTTTCTTTCTGTTTTTCTGGCATTATCCTTTTCAAAACTTGTTCAGCAACTTCAGTAATTAATAATTTTGTTTTATTAATTCTATAAAACGAAATAAAATTTTGATTATTATGAAAATGTAGTATAAGTATTGATGTATTAAAAAAATGATTTTCTTTTTTGTTTTTGCTTAAATACTAGTTACATTTGTTGCTTTTTTAATTAACAGAATTTCTATGCCAATGAAGAAATTGCACAAGCTTATAAGTATCTAGCTAATTATTACCTACGACAAACTCGCCTCGATGAAGCTTATTATGCAGCCCAGCAATGTACCTCATACAATGAAGTAAGTAACTAGTATTTCACTTAAAATAGTGATTTTGTAAAGACATTTTGTTTTTTTGTTTACTTTAATTTTTATTAGATATCAAAATGCATTATATCCTATTTCAAGAAGGGTTATTTTCTGTGTCCAGCTAATTGCATCATTTTTGCAACACATTTATTTGTTCAATTAAAAAAATAGTGATGAAATTTTACATGAAAAGTTGACAAAGATGTCACCTAGCAGAATATGGTTGTGTATGTATCAAAAAAATTTAACTCCAGCTTAATGAGTGTATATCATACATACACACAAATATGTTTTGAGTAAATGAAAAGAGTGTTCGTGTGATGTGTTTCTTTCTTCAGGACATCATCGAATTAAAACATCAACTTAAACATCACTTCAGTCTGATGAACTCCTAAAAAAAAAAGATGTCACACAAAAACTTGTTTCCACTTTGTCATAGTTTCCCAAATATATATATATATATATATATATATATATATAGCATGTAGTGTAGCATTGGCAAATGAAAGGACTCATCTGACAGTATCTGTCAATATTTCTGAGATGAGGTATTATGTATGCTATTTACATTGTTCAGAATATCGTCTTCATCTTTGTTTTTATTTATCACAATTTTTGGGTTGTTGTTCAAAAATTTTTCAGGTGATTGAAATGTTGAACTGAACCCTTTATTTTGCTCACTGGGAAACATGGCACTAAAGTTTATAAAAGTATTTTTAATAGAGTCTGTATATATAACTGTGTGTGTGTGTATATATATATATATAAAAAGAGGTTTGGTGGTACAAAATTTTATCACTGCCATGAATAGACAAAAATTAGTTTTATTATTACCACTCATGATAATAAAAAGTAAAAATTAAAATGCTGAAACTATCGATACATGTGCTGCTGCCCTATATCGTAGTCAATTGTTCCCACCTGTTATTCCGGAAGATGTGTTTGTTGAACTGATGAAATTTGCCATGATGTCAGTTGACTTCAGTTCAATGGCATCATGTAATAAATGATTGATGGTGTTTATTATAAACTGGAGCCCATCTTAGTAAATATCTTTGTTGGGTTCCAGGAAGAGAGTGTACTATTAAAATCTGATAAACCTGACGTTTATTTCCGTTATGTTGATGATACTTTTTGTCTCTTCGATAACGAGATTAAAGCAGACCAATTTCTTGCGTCCCTTAACAATATTCACCCGGCCTTGAAATTTACACAGGAAAAGGAGGTTGATTCATCTCTTCCCTTTCTCGATGTACTCATCAGCAGATATACATCAGATTTTATTACTTCTGTGTACTGTAAACCGACGTTTACTGGTTTGTATATCCGTTGGGATTCTTTTTATTCCAGGAAACACAAAATTTATTTAATTAAGACCCTTACACATAGGGCTCTCATGATCTGTTTGGACATCAAGTTGGATGACGAACTCTATCTTTCTTATTTTACTCTCTGCAACAATGCCTACCCATTGGGCATTGTTCAAGTATATAAAAATTATTAAGAACAAAATTGCTGAATTTAACAAAAAATGAAACCCTCTATAGTAAAAATATATCCTGTGTACCTACACCTTCTTTTGGCTAGGTAGTATCAGCGATAGGTTTGCTAAGCAGGTTTCTACCAATGTTCGACATTGTTACTTTGTCACTAACACTACGTTTGTTTTTTTCTGCCAGGCCCTTCCTCCATCTATACATAAGGTTGTTCTCCCACTACACCATAATAATTCACTAATTTATTCCTTTAAATGTAGTTGCGGTTTGCACTACTTAGGGAGAACGATGCAAAGACTAGATGCTAGAATAAAACAACACGTTCCAGCAAAAATCCGAAATCGGAAGTATACTCCTTGGACATTCTGACCAATACATATGGGTCTTCCATCACAGAACACCTTATAAATAGCTATAATTGTGCTGTTAGTTTTAGTACAGACGCTTTTACCATCCTTAGCAAGTCCCACACAAATTACCACCTAAAAGTGTTGGAGGCCATCTATATTCTATCTTTAAAGCCTTCTCTTTGTAAACAGGACTTTATATTAGACCTCCAACTAATTACCATTAAAAAAAAATTTTTTCCCACCAATAAACTTTGTCCATTGTTCTTTTTTTTTTTTATTATATAATTTACTCTATTTACCTCTGTTGAGCGAGGTACGAAACTGGTTATCTAGCCTGTTTTTCATTTTTACTTTTTATTATTATTATGAGTGATAATAATAAAACTAACTTTTGTCTATTCATGGCAGTGATATATATATATAAACAATTGTGTGTGTGTGTATATATATATATATATATATATATATATATATATATATATTTTATAGTGTGTGTATTTAGGCAGCAGTCCTTCATTTATACATGTTTCATTAAAGCTAACAAACAAGGCACTGCAATTAAGCTTTCTATTTAATTTTTCTTGTGTTCAAACAAGTGTTTTCTTTTCTGGACACAGTGTTTGTAGAAACTGTCCAAAGGTTCTGCAATTCTAAGCACTTTCAGCTATACTTTTAGCCATTATCAGGGATGATTTTATTTCTGCTTTTTAACTGGGTGTATGGGTTGTGTGTGTGTGTGTGTGTTTCTAGAGTTATAGGGATGTTTTATTTTCCGGACATAGCACATTGCGCCAAGTTCATAGTTAATGCACTTGTAAATTTGTTTTTTATTCTAAATGAGTACAAGCATATATGTGTGCATGTGTTCATATGTATGTATGTGCTTGTCACACATTTATATATGGGTCAGTAGATGTATTTGATTATGTGATTATCATGCAGATGCCTACATGTTTATTATCTTTACCAATATATTTTTTATTATTTTTATTATTTGTAATTTATTATTATTATATATTTTTATCTATTTATTTTTTGTTTCATTTATTAATTTTCATTTATTATTATTTTATTTTTATTATTATTATCATGATCATTTTTATTATTAGTTATTATATTGTTTATTATTATCAATAGTATTATGATATGATGATTATATGATGATGCTGTCACCATTTTAACCCCTCCCTTTGTGAGCTTTATTTGACACATTGTTGTAACTCTGTTTTAAATTTAACCTTCCTATCTCTTTACCTTCCCTTACTCTTTATATTAACTCTTTTTTCTGTTCTCTCTTCATAATATAAGCCCCCAAAGATAACTTTTCTAGGTCAATTTATTTTTGCTATTGTTTCATCTTGTATTTTTTTATTTTTCTATTTCTTATTTTTTTATGTTTGCATTTTTGTCAGTTTGGGATATAGTGATTCTATTTCATAAAATGTAGTTGGTCTGATGAGATGAATATGCTTATATTCATTGAAATAAATTTATTACTGACAATGGATTTTTAAGGGTTTTTCTTAATTATTATTATTATAATTTGCTCTGTATCATACATTGAGCTCTCATATGGATTAAAAGTCCTCTTTGGAATAATCCCTACCAATTGCAATTTGATATATATATATATATATATATATATATAATTGTGTGTTGTAACCTAGGAAGGGTTACTGAATGAGGAATAACTTATTGATTCCATTCCGCATAGAATCAAAGCAGTTTTAGAAGCTAATGGAGGTCCAACACATTATTGGTCAATAAATAAATGTCTGATAAAAATTTTGCTTTCCTACCAACTCCAAGATCTTGTGCCAGGCACAAAACTTAGTTGGTAGAAACAGCAACTCTCAAAAATAGGTGCAACCTAAAAAACAAGACACTACTGCATAAAATTTCAAAAAGAACAATACATTTATTTACAATTACAAATTTGAAAAGTACAAAACAAGGGTTGTACAAAAATTTCCCTTTGTGCACCTCTTTGGGCAGGATAACACTTTCCTGAGGTAACAAAAAAAAAAGAGATTACCTGCAGAAACAAGAAAAAGAATATTTCCCAGTTAGTTTAAGAAATGGATTCATGTACAAAAATTATTCCCTTCAAAAATAGAGAAAAATTGGGAAAAACTTGGAGAAAGGTTTTAACAAAATGGCACAAGGCAGAAATTTTTCAAATGGCACCCACCTTTGTTCTTAACAATATGCAGAAACAGGACATCTCAGCTCGGAGGGGTTTTGTGTTTCACTTGTTTGTTCTTGGGTAGGAAATCTTCAATCATAAGAATCTGCATTGTATCAGACAGGTCAGATTTATGACCTCCAACTAGACTTTCCTTTAAAGTGTGGGGTGCTATGCTCAGTCCATTCTCATGAACAACACATCTTTCTCATATCTGTTGTTCTCCTCACTGATCTGCCTCACCTCTCTGATTCTACCTCTGTTCTCTGCTTGTGACCCTGATCACTAATAGAAGTACTTTTTATTGAAATAGAATATGACATTGGCCAGTAAACTTATTTTTCATTGGCTAATATATATAAAAAATCCTCTTCAAGTATTCAAAAAAATAAATCCGAAACACTTCAAACAATTTTGGCGGTTCCCCACTTGAGCCTAAAAGGCCATAAAAAATGAAGATGTTCCTGTCTTGTCGCATTTTTGTGTGTATATATATCTAAATATGTCTGGGTGCTTATGTATTATAATCTGATTGTGTTTTTGTTGTTTTGCACATTAGTTTAAGACCCCATTCACACACTTTGGATTAAAAAATATATATACATGTATTGTCAAATGACTGGATATTGTAGCGTCTGGTCGTACATAATTTCAACAAAGAAATAAATTGAATAACATATGTATTTTTTCTTTTCTCAATAATTTTGTAGTTTTTAAACTTAATAGTGATTAAATTTGGATTTTAAAATTGGCAGTTTTTAATTTTAATATCATATTTTATCATATAATTTAATAATTATTGGTTAGAATAAATTCTTTTTAATATTACCCGTATTTTAAAGATCTGAATAGCTATTATAACATGATTTCGTTGTCAAGCTTTTGAATCTTTCTATACTTGGATTTTGATTGGTCATTCTAGCTTTTGTAACAATGTTTTCCCCTTGCGAAGGATCGTTA